CGTGATGTACTGTATCCTATGGTGAGAGTCATGTAGGGCGATCAGCAGGACCCGTCGCAGCTCCTGGGTCTCCCTGCTTGTGTGCAGGAAGTGGGAAGCCATGACTTGCAGGGTGGCAGGGTACCTGAGCAGTAATGCCGAGACAACTGATAGGGTGCCGGGAAGGAAGGACTGCTGGAAGTAGCGTGGTCCTCGCAGAGATGTGGGTCCCAGCATGTGCCTGCTTCTCTAACAGCAGCTGTGTGATACTTGGTATGAAACAGGGGCTCAAATGGTCAGGACATCCCCATGACCTCAGATCCTGGAAGGTGAGCAATCACCCGCCAGTGTAAAAACCATCCCTTGAATGTGAAAAATCCCATCTCTAGGTGAATGTCCATTGTCCTCTAGTTGCCACAGCTGGGCACATCCTGCCTGCATCACAACAGGGGCTGATGGCTGTTGAAGGCTCTTTATTTGCTATAGCTGGCCATGCCTTGCCTGTCTCACGGCATGGGGCTGAAGCCTGATGGGCAGGTGGGGGTGGCCTGGCTGGGTCAACCCCCCCTTAAGAAGAGGGTCCCAGCCTTGAGAAGCAGAACCCGCCCGCTACCACATCCATGTACTCCCAGGCCAAACACCACTTCCTGCCAGTTTCAACCCTTGGCAGGCTGACCTGGGGGAAAACTCGACCCTGAGCACAGCTCTCTGGATCATGTGGGCTGTTCAGGCCAGCAAGCCCCTTGGGCCAGGGGTACAGCCCCTCCAGCCAGAGGGACAGCCCCTCCAGCAGCACAGCTGGCTTTTGGCTTGCCTTAGTCCCTCAGAAAGGCAATAAGCCCTGGTATTTTGCACACACTTGCCTAACAGACTGCAGCTGGGGGTTGCAGACAAGTCCCCTGGGAGCCTGCAGGGGAATTAGAGACAGCAGCATCTTGCAGAAGAGAGGCAGAGAGGCAGCAGCCAGCCAGAGCAGCAGGCACCTGGCAGCACCAAAGCTACCCCTTGCAGCTGGCTGCCAGCCTCCATGCCAGCCCTCTCACTGGCTAGGGGGGAAAAGTAGCTCAGTACAGAGCCATTCTCATGCAGCCTGGGAAGGGAGTAGGGCCATGGGTACCAACTGCCCTGAGAGGACTGCAAGGCAGGGGGCTACAAAGGGCAGGAACTGTGGGGGCAGGGTGTGGGTGCCCCTGCCAGCAGAGAGCTGCGGGGAGCAGATCCACTTTTGTTTCAATCCTGGTGTTAGGACTGTAATTGTAATTGTGTTTGAGAGAGAGCTTTCCTTGTGAAAAGGATGATGTGGTCCTTTCTATATTAGAGCCAGAATCTTGGTTTGTGACTACCAACAAAAGGCTCCTAGTCTTAAGTAAAGTTGAGTTCAGTGCAATACAGTTCTCTAATCTTCAGTGAGCAAACTCCCTAAGGATTGATATGGGAGAAATGCATCCAACTGACAAAATGCTGCAACTTATTTGTTAATGTTTTCAGCCCTCTAAACACAGTTAATGGCCAGGTTTTCCCAGTAGTTGTACAAGCATTAACTTGCTTGTATTTCCAAAATAAAGAGCACGGTGTGAAGGAGCAAACAGAAGGCAACAAGCCACTCCTTTTTCAGAGCAGTGCGTTGGAAATGCAAGTACAACTCTTCCTTCTAAGGACAAAGCTCATTAGCAGTGATATACTTTAGAAGTTACTCTGCAAGTGCTTCATTTCTGTAATTGCTTAAAAAAAAAAAAGCAAACTGTATTCAGATTTAATAGTCACTTAGATCTCTGGTTTAAAATTGGGGTTCTGCCTCATCACTGATCCTACCCTTTTGTGACTGCAGGGGTGTTCTTAAGTTCACTGCAACCCTTTGAAGTCATAAAATCTGAGGCCATATCATGCTCTAAGACAGCCATAAAATGTTGCGTGTCCCACCTATGTGGTAGGGCTATGCTATGAAAAAGAGATTTCAGGCTAACACTAACGTTTCTGAAACAGCAGCAAACTTTTTCTGCCTTGTAATGAACCACCAGTTTTACGTACAATGCCACTGCAAAACATCACCTCTATAGAAGAGAGGTGTTATAGAAGGGAGTTGTACTAGAAGAGATAACTCTAAAGTGTTTCCAAATGTATTTTAGATGCATCATAAAATGATCCCAAATGAAAAACAGAGATTTGTTTCCAGTGCGGTTGCTGTTAGTTTTCTAGGAAGAAAGAATGGTTTTAACAGGCGGGATGTTAGACTTGTTTGCTGTCTTATCTTTGCCTCTAGACACCTGCATTTTCCCAGTGCAACTTTTCCATTATTGCATAACAGGTCTGTAGAATTGCTTCTGGGGGGTTAAGAGTTCCCTTCATGCACATGGAAAGGATTTTGCTACGAAAAGTGCTTAAAATTTAACTATAATGTTAAAAAGGTTACTGAGATAATGGAAAGTTTTGTGCCATACTTGACCTCTCAAGAAGTTTTGCAAGGAGAAATCTTGACCTAAAGTTGAAATCATAGAAATATAGAAAATTAGGGCTGGAAGGGACCTTAGGAGGTCACACCTAGTCCAACCCCCTGCTCAAAGCAGGACCATCCCCAACTAGATCATCCCAGCCAAGGCTTTGTCTAGCCGGGTTTTGAAAAGATCCAAGGGTGGAGCTTCCACCACCTCTCTGGATAACCTGTTACAGTGTTTTATTACCCTCCTAGTGAGAAAATGCTTCCTAATATCTAACCTAACCTTCCCTTGCTGCAACTTGAGACTGTTGCTCCTTGTTCTGTCATGTGCCATCACAGAGAACAGTCCAGCTCCATCCTCTTTTGAACACCCCTTCAGGGAGTTGAAAGCTGCTGTTAAATCCCCTCTGTCTTCTCTTCTCTAAATCAAATTGGTCTGTGTATTAAGTCATTATCTATTAGCCTTAGAACTAAATCAATATTCTTAATAAAAATATTTCCCTTAATAAAAAACAGTATATCTGTAACTGATCTTGATGAAGTAATTGGTTTGTCATGTCATGGGTGGAGCTATCTCATTATAGTCCCATCTGATACAGCTGCCCGTCTACTCAGGTTTCGATGTGTTTTATTTTTTTTCTCCACAAGATGGCACCACTGAAATGTCAAACATGCCAAATCTGAGCAAAAGCTTATTTGACAGCTTAATTAAAAAAAAATTCTTAATTACATTTAAGAGTTAGCCCACTGTATCTGGCTGTTACCCATGGGTGTGCTAAAACATCTTGATCAGCACAGATCAGACTTCATCAGAGTCTGATGCCAGGCAGAGAATGACGACTGCATGGTTGGATTGCAATGTGCAGGTGTTTTAAATGTCATGGCTCTGCATATCTAGCTCTCAAGTTCAGTTACGTTTGTCTAAACAACACAGCAATTGTACTATTCAGATTCTTAGAAGGCAACTGGTTTCAGATTCCTGTGAATGAAAATACAAAGCAAGGAAGCTGCAATTTACCCATGAGGACAAACTCCACGTTATTTAATATTCACATTTACAATAATTGCTGTAAAGTATTTTGAAGCAAGTCTTAAATTTTTCCAGTATAAAAAGATTATATGTTTACATAAATTGAAGATGTGAATTGTCTAAATAATAGAAAGTGTGATTGAGTCAATGCCCTCTGCTATTTTTTAAAGTGAATAACATGGATCTTTTGAAGAAGTTTATATGTTTTGATCCTGTTGCTATTCCATGGAAATTAATGCCCTTCTTCAAAAAGGGCTGCTGAGAGTGTCTATTTTAGGAAATGCAAAGAAATTATTAATCAACTTCCCACTGTAGAGGTGGCTAAAATAATAATTGCCATTTTTTAAACTTTGCAATTAAAGAAATGTAAAGCAATATTCAAAAGCAAACTTTATTAAATAGCAATTTAAAATAATTTTGGACATTACTAAATCAATTAAAAGCTTTAATATCTGGTTTATTTTAGGGTTTGATTGTTTAACATCAGAAATTGAAGATCTAGGCATTATGGGGCTAGGAGTTCATGACTTACCACCTATGTTCCTTGAATGGAGAGGCAGGGCACTGTTGGTGCCTGCCACTTTAAGGGCTGAGACAAGCAGCCAGCAGGTGCTTGATTGTGGCGGCCATTTTAGATCTCTGGCCGCCTATATAAACAGAGCAGTTGGCTACTAGTAGGTCAGATAGAAACATTGCTTGGCTGCATGCAGTTTTGGTGTAGGTGTAGGTGTAGGTGTAGGTGTAGGGGTAGGTGTAGGTGTAGGTGTAGGGGTAGGTGTAGGTGTAGGTGTAGGGGATGGTTAGGAGGCTCCTGGTCCTGGGCATGACCTAAAACTGCACCCTGCTGGGAGTGGGTGGTCTGGAGGGGCTCTCAGTGGTGTGCCCCCCCCAGGAAATACCAGGTCAGTTACCACCTTGGTGAAAGGTGGGTTGGGGCCCCCTAACCCCAGCTCCCACAACTGGGTGGGTTAACCCATAGTTGGGCCAAGGTGGACCCTGGTTAGAGAGAGAGGGCTAGAGGCTCAGAGACTTGACTTGAAACACCCTCAACTGGTCAATGCTGAGGCCAGGACTGGAAGGGTCGAAGGGCCAGGGGCCCACTGTGAGGGATGCCCAGAGCTGAGGGCCTGGGGTTCTGACTGGCCTTGGAGGTGAGGCCAGGGCCTGTGTAGCCAAAGGTCCTGGGGGGGCCACAGCTGAGAGGGGGAACAGTTCCGGGAGCTCGGCAGCTCAGAATGGGGGTGGAGCAGGCCACCTGATTGGAGGGATCTAGCTGGGTCTAGATTAGAGGATTTTGGGGCTCAGTGTGAGGCTGATGATGTTAAGAACAGTGGATGCCATCTGGAAGGCTTGGGTTGTGGTGTAGGGGAGGAACAGAGCTGTGGATAGCATCCCCTGGCATCAGGGCAAGAAATGGGCAGTCTCTTGCCTAATTAATGTCATAATTGTATATCAAGGTGTAGCAGGTAAGAAGGTGGGTGGTTGGCCTAGAAACAGGTGGGTGGGCCACTGGAAGACCAGCCCTGAGAGCCCCCTGTTACAAATAGCTCTTAAATCATGTGGTGAATTCAGCAGTAAACTAGTCAAAATTTGGTATTTAGATCCCAATTAAGTGGGGTAGAAGTCCAATTAACTGGGGTAATTGAATGATACATAATAGTCTGTGGTTTGGAAGGAATAAAAATGCTGCTAATGGCATTCAAACGCTGACAAACATTGCAGGATTATTTTTTATAGTTTATATTGACCTTTTTTAAGCTTGTATATCATGTAATCCCTGTTTTCTCAACTGATGGTGGAGAAGACTGTGAGCATATTTAATATCGCTCTCCTCCATTATTGGTCCTGAACTTTATATGTTGTTTTTATGGAAAGCAATTTTACACTTTTTTTTTTTTTAGACTTTTTTTTTTTAATGTTTGAGACATCTTTCTAATTGAGGACTGAAATCCTGCCCTATCCCCACTTATTTATTTTAAGGCTATAACTTGCTTCAAAATTAATGCTTGTTAGGGCTGAAAAGATGCTTTCTTTCTGCATCCCTGCTCAGTTGCTGATTACTTAAGCTTTCTCCTTCCCTACCCATGAATGTTCATATTACTCTGTTTTGTTCTGAATTGGACACTGTGTTGATCTCAGGAAATTAGAATGTATCATTAACCTATCACTTGACTGCAACAATGTGTTGATTTCACTTCATTTTAATTTTCTTTTGTTTTTGCTTCAATTAGTGGTTTGCTTCAATTAGTGGCTTTCTGGTTTTAAGATATATTAATTGCATGCAGTGCTTTGTCTTTTTCAGCATAAACCCCATCAAATGAAATGGCTGATCAACTCTGCTAACCCACTACTAATCAAGGTAGAGACAAATGTGTATGTATACTGTCTTTTTAAGAAGGTACTAGTAAAGTGTCTATATGATCCTTTGTGTAAGGCCATTGAAGTTGGTGAAGATACAGCAGGGACAAATTTAGCCTAAACTCTTAAATACTGGATTCCTTCCTATGTTAATCTTCTAAGTAGTAATTGGGTTTTGAAGCAATTTATAGCTGGTGAATACAATATATTCTTGCATAGAATTCAATATTTATATGAAGCATCTCAGTGATATAATTTTAATGTGTATAGTTTTTTTTGTTTGTTTTGTTTTTTTAAATCGGTGCAGAAGAACAGGGTTTGCACATAAGAGCTAGTCAAAGAATAAAAAAGAAAAGCTCATCTGACCTGCAAGGCTGCTTCTTTCTTTCTTTCTTTTTTTTTTTTTTTTTTAAGGGGACAGTGTATCTAATAAAGACAAAAATAGCTAGCGTTCTGATTTAAGAGGCGAGTTGCTAGAATGTCTTGGTCTTCTTAATTATTGTATTATTTCCAAGTAAATAGTAAATGGACTAATCATTCTTTGACTAACCTTTTAAAAAGATTTTCATTATATAGTCACAGGTCACAAGAAAATAATTAAAGGCAACAGCATGAGGTGTGGCAGGAAGCTCGCTTGCCAAAGATGATGTGAGTAAGTACAAATCTTGCTTTCGACTGCATCAAGCTACATTGTTATAAATATGTAACTTATTTCGAAAACTTTTAAGGCTTCCGCAGTCTTTATGCTGTAGTTGAATACAGCATTAACATAAGGAATGATCGGACATCTACATTCAACTTGAGGGGGAGTGCTTAAAGCTGGTACTTCTGCTAAATGCCTGTTTCAATTGGCTCGCTCACTCACTGTGGTGATGACTTGGCTAAATAGCATGATTATGAACATGTTTGCTCTGAGAAACTGTCTTCTTCAGAAAATAAGTTACTGCAGGATGTCCCAAGTATTTAACTTTCTGTTAGATCCCTTGGTTATACTCGGGCTTTTTGATAATAGCAGGAAACTTAATTGCAGCAGCACCACAAATTATTTGATCCTAACCCTATATAGGAACCTCAGGTATGTTTGTAGGCATTGAAGTTGGTAAATGATGCTTTGTTTGGACTTGGTGCCTTAGAAACAAGGTTGGGGAGCAATTCCCTTTAAAAAAAAAAAAACAACAAAAAAAAAAAAACAAAAACAAACAAGCAAACAATCAATTCCACTTTCCAGTTGCAGAACTAGAATTCGGAAGCTTCTGCTGCAGGTAACAGACACCAAGAGCAGCTTGCGAGGGAACAATATAGATTAGATAGATTTTTATTCCTGGCTATAATTAAATTGGCTCCCAGGATTCTTCTGGAAAGGGGCTGCTCTTGACATTTTATTAAGAATGATTGATTGCTCTACCACTATCCATTGTTGGCATAAGAAGTGTTCCTGTAGCTTGCCAACAAAGATGTGAGGCTATTACTAAAGAACCTGTGCTCTTTTTCCCACGTACAGGAGCAAGTAGCTTAATATTTAGTAGAGCACCCTGCAAATCTTATTGTACTAATATTATAGTATGGAGTAATCCACCTCCTACACACATCAAGCAAGGCCTAATTGATATTTAATTTGAAGAGTCTGTCTTTTTCTAATATTTCTTTTATCCATAGGCTACAGAGTTTGAGGCCTGAAGGACACATGGGCACCCAATAAAATGGAACAAGTAATGTGTACTTGTTTGAGAACAAGTCTCAGGAACATACTGGTAACTTGCATGTCTCTTGCATTAGTGTTGGTAGAGTTTGGTTCAAGAACATTTTCACACCTAAGTGAACAGGTAATTTTGATTGTGTTGCTTCCTGAGTACAGGATTGTTGACATGGCTCTGGGCATAGTAGAGTGAGCAAGATAAGACAGCCCACTTCTTAAGCTAACTTGGGGTCCAAAAAATGTTCTGGCTTCTTCATGTAAACATGGTATGATCCCATTAAAGCCAATGAAGTTACCTCAGAATGACTCCAGCCTGACAAAGAAAGGAATTTTAGCTCATTTCCCTGGGAAAGGAAGCAACATGTTGGAGGAGCCAGGGGTGTGGGTGTAGGTGTGTCTGTTCCGGGAGGTGGATACTGCATGTGCCACACCGTAGGTGGATGCCAGCTGTCTAGGATCAGAGTTCCCATTATGAAATCCAGCTTCAGGTTCAATGCTCACTAGAAACACCACAGGCAGAAAGAACTTTCCTCTAGTTGATCAGAATTTAGAAATTGAACAAAACTAGCTGTTGCTTATGAGACTAGGAAAAGTGTTTTTTTTCATATGCACTTGCATACTTTATCCCCCTCTGTCCTTGTACCATTTGACTTCATGAGTAAGTTCCTTCTAATTTGGGAGGGTATGCAATTAAATGCTAACAACCTGAACAGGAATGTCAGCACATGACATGACTCTAGAAGCGCAATCATGGAATTTCATGTGCTGCAATTTCTTTTCTAGATGTTTTCCTTTTGAAAACAAGCCCCAAA